TTGCGTCGCTGAACTCCCACATAGTTGACCATGGTTTGAGTCTGGACCCAGAGGCTTGAAACTAACACTAGGTGCATGTACGTGCGTGCCCAAAGTCCCAAGGGGAGAATCATTAAGAAAGGACTGCAACATGGCCATCCCTCCTCGGGGGTGATTTCTCACTTTCTATCTGTGGCTCTCTGTTTCTCCGGCAAGTATAGGTGCCCAATAGCAAAAATCTCTCTTAAAAAAAAAAAAAAGAAAGAAAGAAATTTTTGCTACAGGACATACATTTGCCAGAGGCAGAGAAAAAAAAAAGTGAAAAATTGGGCCAGCAAGTGGCATGGTGGTTAGAAGTGCTGGATTCCCACATGGGCAACCATGGTTCAAGTCTCGGACCTGTTGCTATCTCACTTCCCCTCTCTCTCTCTCTCTGTCTCTCTCTGATCAAGTTGAAAAATAATAATGACTATAATAATAAATAAAGTTAAATAAAATAATTATTAAAAAATGAAAAAGTAAACTATCATCTCCCAGGAGAGATAGCCATGCCACAATCTCTTCTCCCCCATTCTCCTATCAGGATTTTGGACACGCATGCACATGTGCCAGCAGGAGTTTCAAGTTGCCAGGCCTGGGACTTGAACCATGGTTGGCCATGTGAGAATCCAGCACCTTAACCACTATGCTACCCACTGGTTCCAGCATCTTATTTTTTTTTTTTTTAGCATCCTCCTTCAAAACCTCTTCTATGACTACTGAAGAATGTCTAAAAGAAATCAATGGAGACCAGCAGTTAGCGTAATGGCGATGTCACTGAACTCCCATGTAGTCGACCACTGTTTGAGTCCCAGACCCAGTGGCTTAAACTCACGCCGGGTGCGTGTGCGAGCATGACCAAGATCCCAAGAGGAGAATGGAAGAGAAGGGAATGTGGCGTGGCCATCCCCCCGGGGGGGGGGGATTTCTCACTTTCTGGCTCTCTCTCTCTGTGTTTCTGGCGAGCGCACGCGCAAAAACCTCTTCCAAAAAAAAGAAATCAATGACAATTCAGCATACCCTATTACAGAGTATGGAAAGACAGGATGTCACATGTAGAAACGCAGCTTAAATTCAACGGGTAAGGCTATAGTCTGGTATTTGCTTTTACCTCCAACTGATTAAAAAACAAAAAAAAAAAATCTTTTTCTTTTATTGTAAACAGAAATTGAATTTAAATCATCAAGCTATGCTATACTGATGTAGCGTAGGTTTTGGGGAATATTTTTTGACATAGAGCATGTGCCCTCACAAGAAAGAGAAAGCAAGCACCCTCCATGAGGAATGGTCAAGCTGCAATACCTTCTCCTGCATCCCTCTCTCCTTTCAGAATTTTGGACACAGGCACACACACCCAGTCTGTTTTTCAAACTTCCAGGTCCAAGACTCAAACCACACAACTGGCCACTTTAACCACCATGCCACAGGCTGGCCCTCTAACCTAGGTCTTAATTCAATTTTGAGAACTGAATTGGGATTTTAGGACTATGACGCTCTATCTACATCACTCACTATTTGTTAGAGATAATAGATTTCTTAGACCACATAGGGAATATCAGATGGTTCTGGCTCCAATGACTTACTTTCAAACCTAAACAAGGTCAAGCTGGGATACTGGAAATAACTAAAATCTGACTTTAAAAAAAATTGGGGCAGCAGGTAGCATGGTGATTAAGGCACTGGATCCTACATGGCCAACTCTGCAGTTTGAGTTCCAGACTCAGAGGCTGGAAAATAAAATGCCTGGGACCAGCAGCTAGTAGTGTAATGGCTATGTCGCTGAACTCCCATGTAGTCAACCACGGTTCGAGTCCCGGACCCAGTGGCTTAAACTCATGCTGGGTGCGTGTGTGCGCATGTCCAAGAACCTGAGAGAATGGAGAAGAAGGGATTGCGGCATAGCCATCTCCCCCTGGGGAGTGATTTCTCACTTTCTGTCTCTCTGTCTCTGTCTTTCTGGCAAACACATGTGCCCTATAGCAAAAAAAAACTCTTGAAAAAAAAAAGAAAGAAAAAGAAAATGTCTGATGCATACATATGCATGCCCAAAATCCTCAGAGGAGATGGAAGAAGGGACTGTGGTGTAGCCATCCTCCCTGGGGTGATTTTTCACTTTCGCTGTCTCTCTCCTGAGATTTCATGCACCCTATGGTAAAAATGTAAAATAAATATATTAATCAATTAAATAAATTGCTAAAAGGGGCCAGCAGGTGGTGTAGTAGGTACAGTGCTGGACTCTCATGCATAGTCGATTGCGGTTCGAGTCCAGGACCCAGTGGCATGAAACACTCCAAACACATGTGTGCCCAAAATCCCAAGAGGGTGAAGAAGGGATTTCAGCATGGCCATCCCCCCTTGGGGGGGGGGGTCTCACTTTCTGTCTCTCTGGTAAGCACACTCATCCTACAGCTAAAAATCTCTCTCCTAAATAAATAAATAAAAATAATTTTAAAGATTAAATCATAGGCCAGACAGTGGTACAGTGTTAAGACAACACTTACGTGGGAAGGTCCCAAATTCAAGTCTCAAGGTCTCTCTACACATATCAGGCACATGATGTGTAGATAATAGAATGAAAACCTTTCTGGAGGTGATGTCTCTCACAGGGGAATAAATTAAAAATATTAAAATTTAAAAATCAACTGCTTTCCCTCATATACCTTTATTATATATAGTTAAAAAAAGAAAAAGAAACCTTTCTGCTGAGCTTCATGTCTACCTGTCTGTTTAAATTCTGGTAAAAGAGAACATTCAAAGCTGATGCAGGAAAAAAGAATAACAGTATCAATCACACCCATAATTCCATGTAATTCCTAACTTGTACCCATGGAAAGAACCTGTTTTAAGTCTAAAGACCTAGAAAAAATTTCCATGAAGCAAGTATGCTATACCATTTCCATTCCAAAATGGAAGTCTCCCTACCCTTTAGGTTTTTAAGTTAAATGAGAACACACGTTAAAAATAAAAATCACTAAGAAATAGTAAAGTCTTGCAATTTTCAGCCATATCAGTGTTCCAATACTCTGGTAAAACAGGGTTTGAAATTACTTCATACCAGTTACATTCCTTTCCAGACAAAACGACACAAAATAGGAAATGTGAAAATGTTAATATCAACATCCAATCAATTAGTGATCACATCTATTCCATCATAAAGTGCAAGGGCAGTTCCAACTATGAGCCTAATACACTTGCTGTTTCAAAGAGCACAACACCAAAGAAGTCAGAGTCATTACTAGCAATGCAGAACTAGAAATCGATATTTAGATGAATGTCAGAAATCTAATTCCTGTAGCTCCCAGCAAACGTGCCCTCTTCAGTCACATCAAATATATTTTTTAAACTTTCAAAATTAATGTAACAAAAATGTATCAAATACCCAGCAGCTAACTCAAAGATTTGTGCAAGTTGATTTTTTTAAATAATATCTAGGAGGAACTTGGTGACAAGCTTTCTGTTTTGTGTATTAAAGCAAAGATAGACTTGACCTACAAAATGAAGATAGGGTCAACTGTAACCAAAAAACAGTATGCTTCCCCTGGTGGCCAACCAAGGAATGGTAGAGTCATGCATAGAGGAGAAAAAAAGCCTGGCCTCCTATTATAGCTCTATCCTGTCATTCTTATAAATGAGAAGCAACTACCAAAAAAGGAAGATGTGGGGCAAGGAGAAATTATCAAAAACACTAACATGAGTTTAAAAGGCATACAAACCTGGGTGTTAGACTACATAAACTTAAGAGATTTACATCAACAAGCCAAAATTTACATGACAGATTTGCAAAAATTCGTTTATTTCAGACTGCCTAAGAGCTCACCTAGGCATCCCTATGTATTTTCACTTCAAAGTACACCCAGAGTTTAGTACCTTAATCACAGCTTAAGTGCAATCACCCTGGCAATTTTCTGTAGCCTTGTTTCCAAGGAAAAGCATTTATGCATTTATTTTTTCAAATAAACTAGTGGTGTAACCTACATAGAGAACCTCCAGTTCTAAAGCCCTCCAACCAGGAGAGCTGTTAACTCCAGCTTTACAAGATTCCCTTTTGAATTTTATTTCTGAAATAAAACCCATCTCCTTTCAAACGTTTTCTATACTAACAACCTTTAAAGACAGGCTCTCATACAGAGACAGGCTAGAAATCTCATGCATTAAAATCTGACGAATTCCTTTGTCTGATTGGATTTTTCTTGTACCACTTTAAATTTGCTTCCACATGGAATAGCAGCAAGGGAAGTAAAGGTTACATTCTAGGGTGTAGGGATTTCTTGTTCCATTCTAGGGTGTAAGTCATTTGTTAGGCTAAAGCTTCTGATAGTCCTATTCTTTCACAATCTTCCCTCAAAAAAAAAAAAAAAAGGGCAAAAAGAAAAGAAAACGTCAAACACACACATTTGCTCATACAGTAGGTCCTGAGCTCCAACTGCCACACGCGAGCTCTCTTCCCCAGGCAGGCGCCCTCTGGAAAGCACACTTCTTTTATTAACTGAATTTGGGGGGCCCTACTCTCTTTGCCCTAGGAGTGGGAGGGGAGGCAGGCGGCATAAGAGGCTGGGGACTTGCTGGCAGGAGGCAGGAAAGACCTGGGGGCAACATGTGGTAAGGGTTCAGAGAAAGGGGTCCCCGGGGACCTGCCAAGTACGGGGCGCTCGCAGGCGCTAACTCTCCGGCACTGCCACCACTACCTCTGGCCGAGGCGCAGCGCACCTGGACGCGGGGACTCCGCACTCCCCGGCAGGTGCGGCCACCACCGACGCCGCCCCGGGTCCTGGGAGAAGCGGGGGGCAGCGGCGCCGGCGGGGCCGGGGGCGACTCGGGCCTCCCGCGATGCAGAGGCACGTTCGCAGGACACGCGTGTGCGTGCATGTGCTCCTCCTCCGCGCCCTGCCGGTCCCCCGCGGACCGCCGGGGACACACACAAAAAGAAAGTTACCCACTGGCTCCCGCCCTCGGCTCGCGGGGGCCGGTCCGGGGCTACTCACCGGGGTCGAAGTCGGGCACCACCGCCTGGTCCTGGGGTCCGCACCTCATGCCCCCCCCCCCCG